ATATATATATATATATATATATATATATATATATATATATATATATATATATATATCTATAAGACGTGCCCTCACGACACTAATAAATTCTTTTTTTTTTTTCTTGAATCTTTGTTATCAAAATGCAACTCTTTTGAATTGAAGTGTTTACTGAAAGAACGTTGAATTAGTTCAATTTACACGGGAGGACACATCTGTTTTAATGGAGGTATTAATGTATTAAATGAACACATCAATTCGTGCATCTAAGGAAACAAATATGCCGACCTTAAAGAGTGAGTTCGAGGCGATTCGTATAAATGTTATTAATAAAATTATTAGTTTATTTCGTATAGACAAAAAAAAACTATAATTAAAACATATATTTTTCATTTAAGGTGTTAAAAAAGTATAAATAAATGATAATATTATAAAGGAACAAAATAAAAATAAAAGAAAATAGTCTCCTACACATTTCTCTAGCATGGTAGGCATAAATTGTTTGCACCAACTCAATGGCTACATCAATTCATTTATTTTTAACTTTAATTTTTTTAGTCAAAAAGTACACGCTTTTAAATTATTGTTTACATAATAACGGAGTTTTAATATGTGACACCCGAGTAAAAAAATCTGAGATCACATTCAAATGAGAGCGATTTTAAAAATAGATAACTAAGATACGCTTGACTGACTTTCTACAAATTTTCTTAAGATACATGTAAACGAAGATGAAATATAGTAGAAACCGCGTGTCGGAACCGAAGAGAAATTATGATGCGATGGTGGTGGGCAAATGAATGATGTGATGGCCTCACCACTAAACGATGGTGAAGGGTTGGAATAGTTTTGTGTATTATTAACGCACCGCAAACATGGGTGTGCTCTTCTTCTTACTTTTTCTCTCTTGTTTTTATTAATCCAACCCCACAAAATAAATCACCAATTTCCTCTCTCTCATCAACTTTCGGTGCATCCCAGGTTCGATTCACTAACTCAACTAGTTAAAATGTGTATCACGAACAAGAAGTCAAATCTTTAAGTTCTTGATCGAGTGCTCTAATTTAAAAGAAAAGTACCTTTTAAGGATTCGATTCCTAAATTTGTCTGTTTTTTTAGACGAGAAGATCACAAAGAGCCACTGAGATTTTGAGTAGAAAGGTTTTTGTTTTTGTTTTGAGAGGAAATGGGAAAAACATGAACCACAAAGTCTCGTAAGTGGAAAGAACCACAAAGTCTCGTAAGTGGAAAGAGTCACATAGGGAGACATTCAGTGCATTGCGATGCCAGTCACAATCGAGACTGACCCGCTCACCCGATCCATGAACTGGGCCTGCGTCCAACAATCTGAATCGATCCTATGTATGCCACGTATCAACATAAGAAAAATTGAAGGAAATTTGGGCACTTCAAGGATCAAACTCATATTGTCGAAGCCAAATGCGCCAATTAGAAGATGACACATGTCACATAGCCAATGTGATTAACCTTCCCTAAGGCATGTGATATGGGAGTGTAACGATAAGGGTTTCAAAAAGGCAACAAAAAAAAACGCGCCTTAAATCTCGCCGGAAATCGCGAGATTTCCAGTGAGGCATGCCTTGCCAACAAGGGCGTATTAACTCCCTGAGTCCCCATGTTAAACCTAGCTACCTTAGTAGCCGTCCTTTCTTTTTGAGCCACTGTCATACCTGTGAGGGAGGAGACGAAAGGTTTAGGTGAGGAATCGAAAACGTCTCGAGACTTCTGTGAGTCCTTAGATAGAGCAAACCGATGCCAGGGTACGTCGGGCAAGGGGGGACAAACACACCACCAGAGACAGACGGACGGACGACGACCATCCCACCGGCGACAGTAGTCGAGTTCTTTGATTAGGGTTGTCGAGGCTTTCGGGTGAGGAAGACGAAGCGGCGACCGCTAGTTGACCCTTCGGCATTCCGCGAGTTCGTCTCGGTCAGCGTCAAGCCACACCTCGCGAGCCGCGCTCGGACATCACCATTGGGCCTCGTTTCCTTTCGGCCCAACCCAGAGACGCATCCAGGAACCCTGCACCGTCAGTGTCCTTCGCAGCCCATCGGTTTCGTTGCACTCCCGGCTCGGCTAGGTCAGCTTTGCGGCACGGCTTAGCGGCTCGACATACATATAATATATCGATTCCTAGATTTTTAACCCTCTGGAGCCATTCCCACCCCTTTTTTTAACCATCTGAGGTCAGTATAACTCTATTTTGATAGAACAGTTTGTGACAGGGACGTACCTTGGTAGCTAGGCATAAGAGCTAGATGTGAAATGACTCTAAGTATATCATGTTGTCTTATAGGAGGTAGTTAGGCACCGGGGTTAGCATGGTGAGCGACTTCGGCCAAGGTCAAGGAGGTAAGTAACCTTCCTGTTGTTGGCGTTAGTTATGTATGTATTGTAATAGCTCAAAAATAAATAAATAAATAAACAAATAAAAATAATTATAAAAATAGTTAAAATAATAATAATAATAAATAAATTAATTAATTAATTAATTAAAATTAAATAAAATATAAAAAAATCTTTCCCCACTTCTCTACACGTCCATTTTCACAATTATCTCTCTTCAACCCATCCTTAAGCCAACTGCAAAAAAAAAAAAAAACAACAACAATGTCAGATTTGAGGAAAAGTAAAATGGCCTTTTAAGCAGATTTAGAGATTTTTATGTGTAAAATCCTTATAAGAAATTAATTTAGAATCAAATCTTTTTCATATTTTAACAGTTTTGTAATAATCAGATCCCATATGAAATTGATTAGATTTTTGTTAGCATTTTAAGTTATATGAAATAAGGGTATAAGGTTAGATTCAATAAAATTTTAGTTGGCAGATCTATAAACTAGAAGATCGTAGCTAAACAATAACTTACAATTGTACTTACAATTAGCTAATATCTGTTTACACAATTGAAAACCTATTTATAGAATGAAAATAATTAGAGAGAGGGAGGGAGATTGAGGAAAGATTTGTTGAACAATATTTTACAATAAAATAGGAAACATCCAGGGCAGTGAGCTCCTTTAAATTTTGTCTAAGACGAAATATCATAATTTTACGATGGCCAATGTAAATTAGAGGCAGTGAGCTCCTTTAAATTTTGTCTAAGACGAAATATCATAATTTTACGATGGCCAATGTAAATGAGAGAAATAATTTTATAGAGTTCAAACTTGAAACTGATGTCATGAGCTCATATAGGTTGACTCGGATTTCAAAGGACGAAATCGAACTTTCATTAAAGATATATTTGTGACAACGACTTAAGCTAGCCAGGTAAGTGACCTTACTATCGGCATAGTTATATTTGATGTTGACACGTGCCCTGTGGTTCTGCACGTGTCATATATATTGATATGTGTGAATTGTCCGTGGATCGATATGCTTCCTATATGTTATGTGATGGTATAATATGTGGTTTGTATGATAATAATTATGGTACGATGTGCTCAAGGATATGTTTGAGATAGGATACGAGAAGGATGCACAAAACGAAATGTAACGATAGGTGTAAGATACGTTCATGAAACGTTAAGGTTAGGTTACATACCGGAGTGCTATGGATAGGAGAGATTGATGAAAGAATACGGTTAGGTTATGGGTAGAAAGGGATAGGTTTGTGATAGATTGATAGAACAGATTGATGAAAGAATACGGTTAGGTTATGGGTAGAAAGGGATAGGTTTGTGATAGATTGATAGAACAATAGTGTTAGGGTACGTTCTTGTGACGATATGACTAAGGTACGTTACGTAATGATATGTCTGTGATAGGTATAAGAACGTTAAGGCTATGGTAAGTTAGAGAACGATATGACTATGAAGTGTTTACGTGTGATAGGTATAAGAACGTTAAGGCTATGGTAAGTTAGAGAACGATATGACTATGAAGTGTTTACGTTATGTAGGTATAAGAACGTTAAGGCTATGGTAAGTTAGAGAACGATATGACTATGAAGTGTTTACGTTATGAAGGTATAAGAACGTTAAGGCTATGGTAAGTTAGAGAACGATATGACTATGAAGTGTTTACGTTATGATTTGTTTATGATATGATACATTGTATGTTAGATTATTGTGTTTAAGTACGTAGTTATGTGAACGTGAATGTATGCTATGTATGCTTTTAGTTTAATGTGATGTGTAATGCATGTAACGATATGAGGTCCTTGAATGATTATGGCATGTTTGTATGGAATATGTGAATGTGAACAGCATGAATTGTATAACATGAAATACGGTAAACTGTCTGGAATCATAACCCCGATAGGAATGTGTATGAAATGTGAAATGAAAATGAGAATGACATGAAGCCTGGAACGTGACAGGGGGTTATGGTCATTAAAGATAAATGTAGAAATAGGGGGACCTCATGTATTATGTGTGTTCATGCATCTGGGGGGATACCCCCATCCCATCACGAGGGTACGAACGCGTACATCCAATGGCAGGACAACGATCGTTATGCGTCGTGACAGTTCTAGTTTTAACGGGTCCCGGCATAAGGGGCTCCCAGAGTATGCCCACCGGATAAGAACAGTGGCCCAGTGGTGTGCGAACTAGCTGGTGAGCCCATACTCGACGTATGGGCTGTGTGTAGAGTATATGGTACAAGTCCACGATTACCCGTTAGAACAGCACTGTAGGGAAAACGAAACGACGAAAGATAGGTCCCATCATTTCATTGCATGTGATTGTTGCATTTAACCTCAATAATGGGGTCACTTACTAAGTATTTCTTTAAATACTCAAGATACTCAAGCTATGTGCTACTACATTTTCCAGGTTAAGGCAAGACATTCCTGGGCTGACGACGGCATCGCAACTCGAGATCATGGCATAATGCATAGGATAGTGGTATTTATTTTCTTAGACTTAGGATAGAATAGGATGTTTTAAACTTAAACACTTATTTATTTTATTTCAGGTCTTTTGTTGTGTCATTTTAAAGATGTTTTTGAAACACGTAAGTTCATGGCTGTGTTTTAAATTAAAGGTTATGTTTTATGGAATTTAAATGAAGTTTTCCGCATTCAATATTTATGGTACGTATACAGTAGCGACCTTAAATTAAGTAGAAAATTTTGGGTCGTTACATGTATGTTGGTGCATGCCCTGTGGCCCTTGCATGCACCATGTGTGTTGTTGATGTATGCTAGGTTAGATGTTTCTTGCGGTGAAATGCTATGTATGCCATGTTTATGTATGTGATTCTTGCCGTAAAATGCTATGTATGCCATGTTTATGTATATGATGTTTGTGACACGATTTGCTACCCTGTATGTATGAGCTTGATTGACATGTCATGATTGTAATGAGAACCCCGCATGCCATGAATGTGATGACTAGTATGCTACGATATGCTTACTCGATGTTTGACCTAGTTATGCTATATAATGCGGTGAGGGGATGGAACGTTGTATGTATAATGCCATGGAGGTAAACCTTAAGAACCTTATGCACACTATGGTTATGTACCTGGGGCACTCTCCCGTTATGCTACTAATGATATGGACACGTATATCTGATATTGTGCTCGCCACGATATCATGCATGCCCTCCTTTTTCCGTGGCGTTCGGTATTGTATGTCATACATATCCGACCAAGCCAGGCCTAGGGAGTTCGCTTGCGAACTCACCTGGTGGGCCCACAGTCACACACGTGGGTCATGTGTGGGAAAGTACTATGCATCCACCCCCGCCCGGATAAAGCAAGGGCCTAAGGCCATGGGAAGGAATGGAAGACAGACCCCTCTCTAAGTTTCTTTCTTTTGACACTTGTGCTCATGTATGTGTATTGTGTGCGACCGCATGTATCCTGATGTATGATTATATGCTTAACCCCAACAGTAGGGCGACTTACTGGATATTTTATATAATACTCAAGCCACGTGCTACCTATATTTTCAGGTAAGGGCAAGGCTCCCATGTACGGCAGACGGTGGATGCTGCGAACGTCATGGAAGTCTTAAGGAGGGTTTGTAGTGTCGTAGGCATCTTGTTGGATTCTTTTGGTTCATAGTTATTGCAATTGTCCATCTAATTCTCTGTTGATTATTTCTAGGTTAGGTTGTCGTTATTGTTTTCTCCCGGGTATGAACTGCTTATAATAATGAACGTATTGCGCACGTGAATACCTTCCAAGCACGTGGAAAGCGCAAGCCTATGAGAGGTGAATTTCACCCGTTTGGCCTTTCTTCGATGATTTTTTATTCCGGTTTCGATACTAACCCTAATTTTACTTTAATTAGGACCTACCATAGAAATTTCAAGAATTTTGGAGCTCTTAACACACAAGAAAGCTAGCTTGGGAAGATTCCACAATCAAGCAAGTAACCCCACATATTTTAGGAAGTAATGATTATAGGGATAGCTTGGATATGCATGGATGCTAGTAAAACCAAACCATAAATGGTCAGATTTGATATTATTTGAGCCTAGGACGATTGGATAAACATGAAAATAGTCATGCTAGGTATTTACATAATTGAATTACTTCTCTCATGATGTAATGGATTGTTTATTACTGATTGTACATAGTTGTGTTCGTATGGAGGATGGAAATTTGTGTATCTATGCTCCGGGAGCTTGATGAAGATTATCACCCTGTTAGCTATTATAGTGTCCGAGGAACTTCCACTTCCATTCCCACTTCAGTATGGTACTATTGCGGTAGGCATGAGGCTGGTTAAAAATGTGTGACTTGATGGTTTGTTAGATTACCCTGCACGGTAGATCCATCTTATGGTCGAGCATTGATCATGCGAGTAATTAGTGGTTACCTTGCATAGATGATCCGTTTTGTGAGTAGATGTTAATCATGTGGGTAGCTAGCGAAGCTTGCATGTACTAGGGAGTTGTGCCTGCCAACCTTGGGCGACTAGACGGCTTATGGGATGGGTTTGCCAGCTAGCCTCCCATTGATGAAGATCAGGCTAGCAACACCAGGTTATCCTCATCTAGTATGGAGTCCTTTGAGGTCATATTGGTTACTGCTGCGTAGGCTAAGCTAGCTACCCAAAACTGCGCACAGTAAGAGCAATACACTTAGAGTCTAGAGTAAAGCCTGTAGTCACCTGCTAGGTCATGAATGTGATGAAAACCTACAAGTAGGTTGTTTACAGAGTATAGTTATATACTTATCATTTTTCTCCATCCTTTTTTAGGTGTTTGCAAGCTTTTGGTCAAGGTGGAGGAGCATTCGAAAGTTGGTCACAAAGAAGGTCATTCCGAAGCGTCAATCCATCTTTGTGTTTGAACCTTTTGTATTTTGTTTTGTAATTGTACCACAAATTCATTTTGTTCTTTTTTAATAAAGTTGAACAAACACATTTGAAATTTATATGTTATATCTAATTTTGGTATTGTTTGTCCTAATTTGATTTTACTTTGGTCCTAACCAAGAGAGAAAACAATACCTAATTTTTAGTCAACTTTGATAGCAACATTTCCTTCCATAGTTTAAGAATTTAAGGAATTTAAGGATTTACATGAAAATTTCGTCCCATAAGGAATTGTGCTGGTGTAACGATTGGGCCTCAAACGCCGGTGGCCGACCCACGACCCGAACACCTGCATCAAACCTGACTCGTACCTGCTCCATCTGAATCGAACCGACTCTACCAGTGACCCGTTACTACCCTTTAAATGTCTCAAAGGCATAATATAAACATGGTATATTCACATACTAACATAACAAAATGTAAGTAAATGTATTTTAAAATACTCATATCGCTATAAAATTATAGCAAACATCATATAAGGATAATGTAACCTATCGTAACATTAGAAAATTACTGTTAGACAAAGACGATCGATAACGAAGCTTGATAGTTACATCGATCTTCTTTCTATCGCGTAGCAGTACCACTCGCTCATGGTTTTCTCTCTACGACAACACCACAACGAGGTTAAGGGAATTCTTCAAAAACTCTCGTTCATTCACAAGAAAGTTTTCAAGGGTAGATGGAGATCCTCTGTAGCCAGCTCATGAAATTCTCCAATCATTTGTAGAGTCTGAAACATCACTAGTTTCATTTCAAAGTTTTGAAGTCTCAATAGTCTAACTAACCACACGCTTTAACTCATTAAACATAAGGATGACATATGTAATCGTCTAAGTTCACCGCTAGTAGATATCGTCTTTTTTCGGAAACCTTCCCCTCAAATTTTTTAAAATGCATTTGATAGGGGAGGTTTTCACACCCTTATAAAGAATGTTTCATTCCCCTATCAACTAATGTGGGATCAGGCTCAGCGTCCTCGCTAGCACTCATTCCTCTCTTTAATCGATGTGGAATCTCATAATTCACCCCCTTTCAGGGCCCAGAGTCCTCACTAGTACACCGCTCGGTGTATAGCTCTGATACCAACTATATTGTAAGATCCCACATTGCTTGTTAGGGCACGAAACTTTTTTTGTAAGGGTGTGAAAATCTCTTTCTAGCAGGCATTTTAAAAATCTTGAGGGGAATCCCGAAAGGGAAAACCCAAAGAAGACAATATTTGCTAGTGGTGAGCTTGGGCTATTATAGCATATGCTTTAATCATTCTCTCCCTCTCATTGGTTAAAAGGGTTCGGTTATCCAATTGATTTTCTATCTCATTCCACATTGGCTAACTAAGGGGAGATCACGGGTTTATAAGTAAGGAATACTATAAAGTTGACACAAGTCTCGATTAAGGGGAAGATGTTCAATGGCTCCATAAGCCTTAAGTAAGGAATACTATAAAGTTGACACGAGTCTCGATTAAGGGGAAGATGCTCAACGGCTCCATAAGCCTTAAGGGAGAATCTATAGTGTACTTTGTTTGAGGAGAGGGTTGTTGAGTTTTATTGGGACCTATTCACTCAGTTAGGAATAACGACTCTCCAAAATAGTATGATATCGTTTACTTTGAGCATAAGCTCTCATGACTTTGTTTTGAACTTCTACAAAAGACCTCGTACCAATGAAGATGTATTTCTTACTTATAAACTCATGATCATTCCCTAAATTAGCTAATGTGGTACACTCCCTCTCAATAATCCTCAACACACTCTTCTCAAGTTCTCGTCTCGCCTCATAATTGCTTTGCTTTCTCTCCTTCTTCATTATCAAACTCTTGTCTCTGTCTCGAAACTTTAAGGCCTCTAGTTCGAGTTCCATCAACTTTGATAAGCAAAGAAATAACCCATCAAACTGCATAAAATAATAGATTATTGAAGTTCAAAAGTATACATAGTGTATATCTGAGATATTTAATATATATACATTATTTATATGGAAATGTATCTAACATAAACTATAAGAAGAAATAATGTAGCCTATTTTTGACAAAGAAAAAAGTGGTAGAGATTCGTGATGATAACTTGAGGTAAAATAACAGCTAGAGAGGAGAAGAAAGTAAAAAGTAAAATGATTCTCCGTTATCTTTCAAAAGTTCCGTACAATACTAGATGGAACGTATTACAATCAAAATTCTAAATCCTAAACTAAACCTAGTTCACGGTAGCGCTTATTGTCGTCATCGATAAGGAACTAAGCGAAGATTACATCGTTAGAAACAGATTCGTGAGAGAGAGAAAATCGGTTCTCGGTCAAGTCAAGAAGAAGATATCCACAAGTAAAAGATTCGTCAGGTACAGTCCACGGCCCGCTCCTATTCAGCTCAACCCACAAATTCAGGGCCCAATCACTGTGACCCTTACTCTAGGTTAAGATATTAATGTCTTAAGTATGTGCTATGGATGATATAGGTGAGATTTATTTCAAGCATAGTTTTTGGAACAATATAGAGTAATTAGTAACTTCGATGAAGGTCAACCATGTAAGTGACCTTATTGTTGGAGTTAGATAATTGATTTATGTATGATGGTGCATGCAGCTCCTGCATATACCATATTAATTATGCGATGATTATATCCTCTTTGTATTGACATGTGAGGTATGCTATGTATGCATGTAATTCCATTATGCTATGTTATGAATAAAATAAAATGTCATGTATGTTATGTTTGTCTTGCCATGTAAAGTAATGTGATGATTGTCATGTATCATGTATACCTGATACATATATCAAAGACGTCATGGATTGAAGGAGAAAGGAAATATAATTAATATTATGTTATGAACCAAAATTATGGGACCTCATACATGTATGTATTTCATGTGCATCGTGATACTTTCTTGTTATGTATGTTAATACGAACGCGTAGTTTCGATATTTATATTCGTCATGATATCATGTGAACCTTTCTTTTTCTGAGGTATCCAGTGACATGGAATGCATTGTGTCAGACCAAGTCAAGCTCAGGTATAGGTACTTACACGAGCTCGCCTAGTAGGTCCATGTGCGCATACATGGACAGTGTGTGGATAAGTACTACACATCCAGTCCACGTCATGCTCAGGGTACGTATACGAGTCCGCCTAGTGGGTCCATGTGCGCATACATGGATAGGGTGAAACTGGAAAGAGCCTAAGATCATGTTACTATTCTAAAAATATAGGTTTCAATAATGTTACGTGTCTGATTGCATTACTAACAGTAAGAATGGGGTGACTTGAAATACTCGAGCCACGTGCTGCTACCCGGTAAAAGTAAAACTCTCATGCAATTAAAAATACAAAATACAAAACTGATCAGAAACGCCGCCCAGAAGCGCCGGTGAAATAACAGAGGAAAAGGTGAGGGTTGGAAGTGGAGAATAGAAAACCATCAAAACTTTTAGTGGAATTCGTATACTCTAAAAGGAATATTTCCAAAACTTTTATGTTCTTCGTGTTGTGATCCATTTGAATTCAATTCAATCTTCGAATCCAGTTTTTAGCCAAATCGCATCTCGAACTCTACTCAGATCTCTCCCTTTCAACGTTCTTCCAATCCCTTCCTCGACGGAAAACGACGCCATCCTCGTCCTCGCCACAAACTCGTGCGGCGGAACCCTAAATCGATCGTTCTCCAACTCATCGCCGCAGTTCGCCTCTTCCTCGAACCTATCTCTCCGATTCTCGATGTACTCGTTTCTCAGGATCTTCGACCAGTCCGGGATGTTAACCGGCAACGCCGCCACTGTCGTTACGCTTCCGTCTCCAGCGTCCACTACCTTCGCCGATATCGGCTTGGAGATTCGCGTTTTGGAAACTCCGCCGCCGCGCGGGGAGTTGAAGAGGTCAGATTCGTCGATTTCGAAGACGAAGTCGCCGCAGCCGGTACGGTGGTTGGGTACTTCGCTAGCGGGAAGAAAGCGGAACTTGGAGCGAGAGAAATAGCTCTTACCAGTCGCCATCGGAGGAGAAATAGTAAGAGAAATGAAGATCGGGGGGCTTTGATTCATGGAGTTTTGAGAGGGCCTTTAAAAAGTTTTGGGGATTGACGAAGACGAAGAAGACGATGAAGAATCGGATAAGATCTTCCTGCAAAATTACCAAAAGGCCCACTCTTTCTCTCGTATTTACATTTATGCCCAAATGATCAAATTATTCTTTTTTCACCCCTGATTTGATGCCTCCCTCACTGTCACGTGCCTTTATTCCTCCCTTTAAAAGTTTTTTTTCCATTTTTCCTTTTTTTTTTTATATATAAATTACAATTTTGTATTTTATATACATCATTAAAAAAAAAAAAAAAAAAAAACCACCACCACCACGAAGACGCAGAAGGAGGGTATTTTGGGGAAGTGAGTTTTTGTCTCATTCGTAAACAAAACGAGTCTATGTGGACCCTACCGCCAAAGCCACATCGATGACTCATCATTTTCTTTTGCCAGGGTGTGTTAATGTTAGCCGTGACGCGATGGAAAATGGTCCCCTCTTCGATTCCCCTGTTAGTAGGAAAGGTGACACGTGTTTTGATATTGCCACGTATCGCACTGAGAGATCCATAATGCCACGTGAATGTGGGCCCCAATGCTACCCTGGATGTCGTGGTCTTTATTTTTACACGCGTCCTCCATTCTTTTTTTTTTTTTAATTAATTTGATTTGTTTAACTGGCTTGTTTTAATTTAATGTAAAAATTGGGGGACCTAGGCCAACAATGGCCACAACAAATCCATGAGTATTAAAAATAACATAAAAATATAATTTAATATTATATTCTATTGAACTTTAAAAAACTGATCTCGGCCCAATAAACCTTCTCTACTAAACCGGAACAGACCGGCCCAATAGGCCATCTCGGTCACAGCTTGGGCCAATTTGCCGGATTCGCGCACCATGAACCAAAACCCTAAACCCTTTTCGTTCATGGTACGAACTGCAGATCAGAGTTCACTCGCATAGTGATACACAAATGAAAACTACGGAAGTAAAAATTAGGTCCAACTCTATAGATCAAATAGCTTAAAATCTAAACAATGACGCGAAGATCTAGCAAGCAGCTAAAGGAATCGCATTAAATAACCCGATTCATTCGTCCATTCCAACTTATGCATCGGAAGGAAGCGAAATCACCGATTCCGAGTAGTTAGATCAATTTTTACACGCGAATTCCCTAGATTCAATCAATCTAAGAGCTAGTAAACTTAGTAACAGCCTTGGTACCCTCAGAGACGGCGTGCTTAGCCAATTCGCCAGGAAGAACAAGGCGGACTGCGGTTTGGATCTCCCGAGAGGTAATGGTTGGCTTCTTGTTGTAGCGAGCGAGTTTGGAGGATTCCTGAGCGAGCTTCTCGAAGATATCGTTGATGAAACTGTTCATAATCCCCATGGCCTTGCTGGAGATTCCAATGTCAGGATGAACTTGCTTGAGGACCTTGAAGATGTAGATCTTGTAAGTCTCCACGCTCTTCTTCGCCTTCTTCTTCTTCTTATCGGCGCCGTCTTTGGGAAGCTTCTTCTCTGCTCTCGGCTTCTTCTCCGCCGGAGCCTTCTCGGCCTTCTTCTCCTCCGCTGGCTTCTTCTCGGCGGGCTTCTTCTCGGCCTTTGGCGCCATTATTGAGTGACGAAGGAATTTGGAAATTTCTTTGAAATGAAATCTGTGTGTGGTGAAGAGTAATGATAGGTTAGGAGTTGAGAATGGAGGAGATGGGTATTTAAAGATGGAGACGGCGCGATGTTATTGGTTCGATTTGTTTTCACGCGGATTGGTGACGTGGGCGGTGGAGATTAGGGAATTCGAATCTGACGGCTGTATTTAATTAAATGGTTCTTTGGACCGATTTGGATTTCAGTTTCCCGTCTTTTCGATTTTGGCTTTGTTTAAAAAATCTCAGTTTTCGCGGGTAATTTTGAACGCTTAGAAAAATGTTTTTTTGGAGGCAATTTGATAGTAAGAAAAATAAATGTAAAAAAAATCAATATGCCCATCAATTTTAGGGTTAGAGTCAATAAAAATCTTGAATTAATTATTATATTAATTTAATATTTTCTATGCTCGATGGCATCCCAAGCGTCTTGTGTTCGTAAATTAACACGCATCTTCATTGTCATGCTGCATAGTTACTTCGCTTGAGTAACGAGTACAGAAGCATCTTCACTCCCTTCTATTCTTCATCGTCGTCGCATCTCCTCCAACAATGTTGACGATGATAAATCTGTTTCGGCATCCTAACTCGATACCAAATGTTTGTGTTTAGCCATCGGTCAAAACAAATAATTGAATTAGAAAGAAACACTCACAAAATAAAGTAAAAGTGAATTTTTGTGGTAAAGCAAAATTGGACTAGCAATGTGCTCTAGAGAAAATGAGTCGATTGGATAGTGCTATATGGATAGATGATTGTTGTTAAAATATCACATTAGCTAATTAAAAGGAAGACCATGAGTACATAAAGTCACGAGAGTTTATACTCAAAGTGGATAATATCATATCGTTGTGAATGTCACATTGTTTCTATTAGTGGTATTAGAGTAAAAAATGGAGTAGTTTGGATAGTATTAGACGTGTAGATGACTATTTTCACATTGTTTCACATATTACATAGTCACGATGACTTCACTTGGTTTCTTGGGCTAACCATAGTTTGGCATTGTTAATTTACGAGCTAACCTTCTTGGGTTAATTAACCATGCGTTTGGTGTTCATAAATTAGCCCAATAAACCATAAGAGTTTATGCACATCTTCATGGACTCAAACCCTAGATTGGACTACCCGCATCTTCATTGCCAATTTAACCCCATGCGTTTGGTGTTGTTGAGAGAGATGCTTTCGAGTGGGTTGCCACCAATCTAGGGTTTGAGTCCATGCAATTCTTTCACTAGGGAGGAAGGATATTTGATTGTTGGAGCGTTTAAAAATTACGACTCTCCATAATGGTAGGATATTGTCTAGTTCAGGCATAAGTTTTCATAGTTTTTGCTCTTGATTCCTCCAAAAGACTTCATACCAATGACAATGGTGCTCTTTACTAATAAACTCACGATCTACTTCTTAATTAGTCAATGCGTTGACTGATTAGGGCTAATAAACTAAAGATCGTAGGTTCTCTATAAGTCTACGTTAAGCAGACAATGAGGAAGACCACGACTCAAATGGTAATGACCAACCATGTCTCAAGATCCAATCACGAGTTTTACCCTATTTAAATTGGAAGAAAGCCAACCTATTATCAAACATTGTAACAAGGGGTTCAACCACATGTCTCAACATCTTATTAGAACGGATTCTTCTTTTTGATCTTCTCTGTGTGGGGTATTAGCCGTCGTCTTCTGCTATTGTTCTTCTCCTAAAGACAGATTCTCATGCGTTACTCACCCTCCGCCAATAAATCGAGTAACAATCGTAAAAGGTACACATTCATCAACAAATTGTTCATCTACCAAAGGACGAGATTATCTTAGGATTTAAGAAGGCAATTATGAGACAAATTTTTTGCATTCATTGAACTTATTTAAACCGAAAAGAAAGTTTTTTTTTTCAATAAAAAAGAAATAACACAACGCTTTTCTTTATTAAAAAATTGTCATACTTGTCCAAGCCGTGTGCATGGTCGCATACCGATGCATGTCAAACCTCTTATGTTGTACCACTTTATTGTTTTCCTTTACCACTTTCATGATGTATAACTTATTTATATTTTCTAAGCATATGACGTTTTGGCATAATAATATCTACGTCCGGTAGACCTGAAATGCTTAAGAATGTACTAGTTTTCAGTTCTTCTGTAACGACCCGGGAAAAAAAAAGAGTTTTCCGAAGACCACCGAGTTTCGCAGACCCCACGCGAAACAACAGCTACACCTCGCTCAGCCTTCAGCCCACGACTCCCAGAATTGATCAGAATACCTGCAAACAGAGAAAAGAACAAAAATATGAGAGAGAAAGAGATTTCGGATAACGTTGGCGAGTTTCCAATTCCTCCGACGAGCCCCAAACCACCCTAAAATTGATGTCAAATCTAAGTTACCACCACGAGAAGGATCCCTAACGAAAGCACAATAACTCAGGGTACGTTTTGTGCCTTTTCGTAAGCGCCGTCGTCGGTAACCGAGGTCGGAAAATTTGGTTTTCCTAAATGTTCTTAGATCTGTGGTTTTAGGAACTTTTGGGCAACTAAACTTCGAGGAAGGAAAGAAGAACGACAAACAGAGAGGAAAAGGAAGAAAGAGGACCGAAATCGACAACGGAAACGCTGCGGGAAGGAGAGAGAAAATGCGCTGGAAAATCGGCTGAAGTCGAGTAAGGAAGACAAGATCCACAGATCTAGGTCAACCCAAACCCAAAATCCGATAGAGCAGCCCGAGTTCTTTCCCCTCGGCCTCTACCTTCGGCCCAACCCAACTACAGCGACCCAAACCTCAATCTAGCCCAAAAGCCATGGTTTAGCTGAACCGACCTGAGACCAGACCCACGGTCCAATCGAACCAGCCTGCAACCCAAACACTTGCGGCCCAATCCAGTAAACCGAGGCCTAACAACCAACCTGACCTAGTAGCCTTCTGCAGCAGCCGACCCGCGCCTCGACCCGATGCTCACCACATGATGTGGCACGCTCTGCTTCTGCCACGTGGCACACAGCGGCGCAGGTGGTCCCTTGGCTCGGCTCGGCTCCCTTGTTTTCATCCCGATTTCCACTGTTTCGACCCTCTCAGACCTATTTTCGGCCCCGATTAAGGTATCCGAAGCCGTTTTAAAGTCGTATTTCACATTTATTGAATTATTAGTACATTAATTGTGAAATACTAACGGAAAGTGGCGAACGGTGTGATAGGAAACAAACTCCGGCAACATAGGAAGCAGCTATCACAGAACGGGAGCTTACGTTTAGCTAATTAAGGAGTACTTCGGCCAAGGTCAACCAAATAAGTGACCTTACTATATGATAGACTAAGGATTGTTTGAATTATG